ATCACGTGCCATCAATGCAAGTGTCGGGAATCGATTCTTACAACTTTTCCAATACTATAAAACATCAAAATCCTCATTAAATGAAAAATCAAGTTTTGTCTCTTCTAAGTAGAGATCCAATTGAGATTTCCCGGCACTAGTAACTTTTTGACTCTCAAATGCCACAATATCCTACATCAAACAAAATATTTTATTAAAAAATAAGAGTCGTTTATTAACTTTGTAGGCTACAAATATTAAAAAAAAAGAAAAAAAAACATTAACAATAAAACAATAAAACAATAAAAAATAATTAAATACTTACACTAGACTTTCTTTTTCCCTTGAAGATTGATCTTGATCCACTTTGCAAAGTAGACATTGTAGACGGAGGCGGAAAAGGTTGTGTATGTGAAGAATGGGAGCCGGAGCGGGAGCCAGAGCCGGGACCGGTAGCATTCACATAATGCTCAAAGAGTTGATACAACTTTGCCTTCACATGTGAGAAAGCCTCTTCACATTTTGCCGGATCGTGCTCAACCGTGCTATAAAAATACTCCAACACTTGAAATTTAATCCTTGGGTCAAGGATAGCCCCGAATGCAAGCACCTCTCTATATTGCCCCCAATACTTATCAAACTTGCCCCACATATTTAAGCACATGCTTCTTATAAGTTCATCCTCATTTGAGGCATTCTCCATCAATATCTTTTGAATTCTCGAAACATGCACAAAATACAAGTTCGAAGTAGGATAAGAAAAACCGGATATCAAGTTGGTTGTCTCATAAAAAGGCTCAAGGAGCTCACAAATTTTTTCCGCTCTCGTCCATTCTTCACTTGAAGGGCAAAATTTGTAGTTCCTATCATGCAATTGAAGAGAAGCAAAGGCCCTTTTGTACTTAATTGCACTCTCTAACATTAAATAAGTCAAGTTCCAACGAGTGCTTACATCAAGTCTCAAGCCGATACTTGTATTAATATTACCAACCGCATTCATCGAGTCTTCAAATTTTTTCATCCTACTTTCAGAGCCTTTCACATATTTAACCGAATCTATAATTTTTTTCAATGGCTCATTTATTACTTTCACACCTTCTTGCACAATGAGATTC